GAAAGTGGTCCCTTCAGTGGACTTAATGTCAAATGGAATCGCCAGCGGTACTGACCAAATTGGACAAGAATGGTTCTGCAGCAGGGTTATGTAAATGATTTTTATGACATTGTGGGGATTTTCTCATCCTGTTTGTTAACCCACAGTGGGGTGAGCGTTATTTTCAGGGATTAGATGTAAAATTCCTAATCCATAGTACACACGAATTGTGTGAGGTTAGGGTTGTGTGCTTGTGGTACTGCACTCACTCATTCTGCCTGGAATGTTCCTAATTGACCTCATTAGACCTTTCCCTTAAAGAGCTGCTAGCAAACCCTAGCCTGAATGAGCAAGGGAAGTGCCACCCTTTCCTTGGTTAGATTGCTCAGTCAAAAAAGGTTATTAAACAAACACTCTGTAGTTTTGTGATACCGTTCATGGCGTCGAAGTCAGAAAAGATAAGTCGTCACTGCGAGCTTGGGTGCCAGAAGTACTTTTGAGACCTGCTAATTTTATGGCCAGTTGAAGAATGGTACCCGATGCTGCTTGATTTCACTTTTATTCAACAGACGCATGTCTGCATCCTGTTGTTTACAAAGTATGGAGGCCAGCCCAGTGGTGTGCCTGATCCTATCCCTGGGGGTAATGAGATTGACTAGGAGGGACACAAGCAAGTCGTTTCTAATGGGATTGTATTCTCCGAGCGGCTCAGAGACAGATGCATTGATGCAAACATTGCATAACGGTTTTAAAACAAGGTGTGTATGCAGGGGAGGAGAGGGAGAGTTGGTAGCTGGATTATTAAGTTCAAAACCTGGTACCACTTTGGAGCACTCTTTCACGTACACAAAAACAGATTAATCAGTCTTTAATCTCTTTTGGGATCATTGTACTGTATATTGGGATTTAAAAATAATGTTTAGATTAAAAAAATGTGTTATTAAATACATTAATCTAGTGAGACGCCATTGACATATTTGGCCTGTATTTTTTTGTTTAGAAAAGATGCTGGGTTGCCTTCCTAGTACCACCATAAATGAAGTGAACTGATGACAGGAGAGCATTTTCATTAAGAAAAATCAATGCAAACTATTTTATATCCAGATGGTTAAACATCTGTTGAGAATGCTGAGGGATATTGATTTTGTTTTAGTGTTGCCTGTAGGGTTGGGTGGTAGGTTGCCCATGTAGACATATCAAATCACTGCTCTCAAACCGAAAGAGCTACAGTATATATTGACCCATATTTCACAGATTTCATTGCTACCAAAGGCTGCTGATTCATCAATAAATGGCAACAATATTCATAAGAGACGGAATGTCACTGGGGACAAAATAGGGCTCCATTAGAAGAGAATGCATGTAAGATGTATTTAGAACTTTGCATAGGATGTTTTCCTGGAAAGACACTGTAAAATAGTTTGATCGTTACTTATTATAATGCAGCAACATGCAAAATGCTCTAAACAAGAAACATAACTGAACTTGATCTTGATTCTTCTGCATCAATATACACTTCAGCTCCATAAACTGTTATGATGCAAAGGATGCCCTGAATTTATAATATCTGATCTAATTTCCACATCTTTGTAATATTTGCTGTTTACACTCACTGGTAAAAGCACTAGGGGTCCAAGTGAAAGGAATAGTGGCATGCACTGTGTGGCTACATGAAGACAGATCCATTTCAAGGTCTCAAGCTATTGAAAAGTGGTTGATCCTTTGGAATGTGCAGTTTAGCTCTGCACACTGTTGCCTTTATCACAGCCTCAGCTGATGATGATCCTGCTGGCAGATGGGGATGGGATTTGGCGGCAAATGTTAAACATCTGTGGAAAAATATCAGGTAATGTTTAAGCTCTTCTTCCTGCTCTCCAGGGTCCTGCATGTTGTTTAATGGGGGTTCTAATATTTTGGCCTGTGGGTTTAAGTAGCAGAGAAAAGTTAAAGGCCTCCTTCCTCTTTATATTTCATTGGGAGTTTGTGTTTAGCCATTCATCAGTTAATTCAATGGGTAGAACCTCATGTTTAAGTCAGATGTGCTTAATGTACACTTGTAAATGTACACAAGTTGTAAAGAATTGCACTGCAAGACGTCTGTTTGAAGCAATTTCTTTGGCAAGTCACAAACCTGCATTTGGTCCTGCTTTTAGAATATTAAATATCTTGAAATAACATTTTCACACGGATGTTCTGGAAGAGGTTTCATTACGAAGCACAGAAGATGATTTATATATCGGATCGGATCGTGCTTAGTTTTGATTTACACTGCATCATGAAACAGTACACTTTAGTGTCTGTCACATGGCACTGCACGATGTATTATTTATACCAAGCTATACAACTAAATGTAATGCTATAAAGCAGCATAAAAACAGTTCTTCTAGCTTGCAGTCTTGGTAAGATGATGCCCGTTTGTGTTCTTTCATGCTTTGTTGGATGATCCATGTAGACCTGCATTGTACGCTGACAAAAGAAGAATTTGTTCTATTTGTGCTTCCTGTTGTTTCTACAGGTTTTGTAAATTGAGCCAATGTGTAGTGGAATGTAGTGCAAGACGTTTTACTGGAACTTCTGGTAACTTTAGATCACTTACAATCTGCATCCATGTTATTTTTAGTGGTAGCTCTACTTCCAAACCTTTTTTATGTACGTTTACTTCACCAAAACTGGAGTTTATCTGTTCTGATCTGGCAGCTTATCAAATCACTGTTTTCAGATGTAGATATGCACCATGAATACATAGCCCGCAAACTGAAACAAATATACTGTAGCATTTGCTGTAGCAACCCACACAGCTGTTGAATATATACAGTATATAAAAACGTTGCTAGTCCACTTCCTGCTGAAAACCAAGGGATGTGTTTAGTTTTAGTAGGAAGTTTTTGTAGTTGCTATGGTGACTTCAAGCCTGAGCTCATTTCCTGTGAGCTGGGACTGGACAAGTCCTTAAATTTAAACTTGTTTTCCTTTAAATGAATGCTCTGTTATTCCCAGATGTTCAGACTACTGTGAGAGGCCAACAGTTTAAATCCTCTTGTGTAATCTGCCACAGTGGCAGTGCTGTGGGGGCAGATGAGCTTTCATGAATAAGCCTAAAGCACAACAGCAACAGAGAGAGTTACAGAGAAGCACAGAGTGACTTTTATAAGAGGAAGCTGTCTGCTGGAGTAGGTTGCCTGGTGTTTCATCATAGTGTATCTCAGTGCAGCATGGGAAAAGAATAAATGTACTGCTGCTGGAATGCAGGGTTGAGTGAAAGAGGCATTGATATTTTTTTTTAAAAAAGCACACATACCATTGAAAGAATATAAAAGAAAGCTGAATCAAGAGACAAAGCATGCAGTATATGTTGTCATCCCCCTACTGTACACGCCTCTGCCTCATTTGCAAAAAATTATAACATGTTATCAAATTATGTAATAAGGATTTTTTAAAGTAGATTAAATTCTATAATCAGCAAACAATTAGGTTCAGAATTTTAGGCAAACTGTAGAGTTCCAACCTCGTCTACCAAATATGCCTCAATCTCGTCTGCTGCTCGTCTTTAGTTCCTACTGTATGTGCTGTAGGATTGGATGCTGGAAACTACTTGACTTACTCAGAGAAGGAAAATAAACAGGTGATGGTGGTCTTCTGATGCAGAAGCAGATTCTGCAAGGATGTACACTGTCCCACTACTCGCTGTCTTTAGTCTTTAAAAACAACCGTTGTTTTCTGAGGTGCCACATCAGGGAAGGATTTGAGTTTGAAGTGTAATTACTGAGTTCTGTGTGTCTGAGGACCAAGAGTGCACTATTGATCTGGGGGGGCCTTGCTTGCACTTCACACTTCGTGACATTTATAGCGTTCGAGCAGTCAGTAAGTCAGCCAGCAGCAGCTGTGAGAAGCTGTAAATTTGAGTGAACATGCAGCGACAGCTAGGATCTATATTTCAGCATCACTGGAGCAGCTCAAACTATGGATTAAAGTTATATACAAGAAAAAAAGAAGGTATACATTATTGAAAAACTTATTCATTTTTCCCCCATTGCTGTATTTACCTTTTTTTCCAGATGCGCCTGTTCATTTTTGGTGTTCTCAGCTTTTTGGATTTTAAGATTGAAATTGAATTTGAACAAAGGATTATACATTCCCAAGAAGCACTCCATTTGGAAAATAATGTGTGTAAGAAAGACATCCTTGCAAAAATATTCTTCAGACATTAATGCATCCTAAACGTGTAATCATTTGAATTTGCAATTACAAAATTGCACACCAGACATAAAAGAGGAACTGTAGGCAAAGTGAGACCTGAAGATGCCATTTAAAACTAAATTTAAATGTGATTTATAATACCTATAGGAAATAGTAATTTCCCAATTGTCATTAAAATAGAGCATCTTTCAAAAGAAAAATAAAATTCTCAATGCATATAAACAAATACATGTATGCACATATATGAATTCCAAACATTCATTATGAGAAAGCCACTAATTTGTGGAAGACTCACAGCAACCCAGAGCTTATGCCTGCAGGCCCATCTCTGGGATGTGGGAAAAAACTGGAGCAGCAAGACAGAACTCATTCAGGGGGAGGACATGCAGAGCAGCTCCAGGTCATAATCAAACCCAGGACCTAAGTGCTAACTAGTGAACTGCTTTTACTACCCCACATGTGGAAAGGCTTCTGCACTCAATTTGGGTAGGTCGTCACTCGTCAAGGCTTACTGCATTTAAAACCTTAATGTCTGCTACAGCCCTGTCACAGTTCCCCAGCAGCTTGACTTTTGTTCCCTATTGTCTTTTAATAACATTCACAGCAGCTAAAACTTCCTGTCCAGTGTGATAAAACAGCAGCTCTGGTAAGTGAAGGAGATCTGGGAATTGTTCTTTTGTCTTCCTTTCCAGTTCAAATTAGAACTTGAGAAATACTTGGTTACTTAATACTTGAACTCCATTGTGACAGTATAGTGTTGACGCATATATTCAGCAGTTAAGGCCCTGTAAACCAACATTATTTTTTTTTAAATAACACCAACGTACCTTTTCAACAAACGTTTATTTGTGAACAATGACAAACAGTAAGCAATGATATCTGAGCTGACACCTTTCACAGTTCAAAAGATCCTTCCCCAACACAAACCCCATCTTAATTCTATGGCAGATGTTTTCTTATTTACAGAAATGTTCGTGTCTATGAAGAAAAGAGGAGTATGTTTTAATGGAGAACACGGCTCAATATCATCAAAAACATTCAACTTTCTCTACACAAGGATAGAAAGAGTACAAATTGTTCATATATGTGTAAGTTACAACATTATTAAGCTTATTAGAGCCTTTTAATATTAAAAGAAATTTACAGGCATTTGGAAATAATTTAGCAAATATTAACAATTTTAACTGGTTTCTTTCAAATATAGGTACATGGTTAAATTTTTTTATTGGACAAACTGAGCATGGTTTTATGGGAGGTTTTTGTTAATACGTGGTACAGTACATTTATAGAAAACATGCTGGCTGGGAAAAAAAACTGTTGTAAACCTTGCCAAAACAGTCTTTCTAACTCATTGTACTCCTCAAACTGATGTTTTTGAGTCATTATCTTTTTTTTTTAATTAGTCATAAACCACAAAAGTCCAATGAATATGTAATACAGGAACCAAATTTAAAGAAGTCAATGTCAGCTGGTGTGTGAGGACAGAGACAGACATATTTAGTAATGCTTTAACAAGAGGGTCATAATTAAACATTTAATCTTGAGTCCAAGTTAATTAACTCTTTAATTTCAAATTTACCCAATGGTCCTTAAAACCAACCCAATACAGAGTCCTTTCCTAAAATGATTAATCTTACTCATGAAACACATGGAAATTATGTGAAGAAGACATACACTGTCGCCTAATTTAGGCCCTTGTGCAGTGCTTTTCTGAGCACACAATTTCTGTCTCAGTGTGCGAGATTGGAAAGGCTTTCCCATGAAACCAGCTTTGTTGATCTGAGGCATGAAACAAATTGAAAAACAAAACTGCAAATAAAAAAGTTAAAAAAATAACATAAAAAAGGCTGTAACACTGAAGTATTTACAACAAAATTAAAAACAAAATATCCCGGAAGTTTTTATATATTTAAATACATTTTTTTCTTTGTTGCTCGGTTTTTTTTTTATAAATAAAAGAATTAAAAATGTGCGGTTTACAAACCAGATTGGTCATTTACATTTATTCAGAAAATGTCAATTACATCAATGCCTCCTCACCTTTGCTAAACACCAAATGCCCCTGTTCCCATCTCATTTTCAAATTCCATGTGTAGTCAGACCATTAAATTAGGAAGATCCCTCAGGATTTAGTGAACTTTATAATGCCTGTCACTAATCCATTCCCTTCCATAGATTTAGGACTGGCACTATCTCATCATGCCTTTTGCCCTGTTACTCAAGTTGTCAATAATAGGTTCGTGCTTGTGTAAAACTGTCCCTGTTATCTTGTATCTTCTTCACGTATTTCTACTCTAACTCAGTGAATGGCAATCTGACATTCAAGTGAAGCATATGTTACTGGTTATTTCCATTGGTTCATTTCCAGATCACGGAATGAGTTTCCAAATTCCAAATAAATATCAGAATTGTCAAGATGTGGTGTGATATTGGGATTACATGATCTTTTTATGTGGATTGTGTGCCATAAAAGAATAGTAAAATTCTATACTATGATATTTGAAATGTTCTTTAGGCTAAGTGATTTCTTCAAGGTTTAAATACAGTCCTGAAAAAAGCCTTTGGAAATGAATGTGCTTTAATGTGTGATATGGCACAGGAGAATGTAACTCCAGTGACATACTAGCAAAAATGAGTCAATTTCCTACTGTTGCACAAGGGATCAGCAGATGAGATACAGTATTTGCTTAAAGTGCTAAATTGAATTTTACATATGATCTAAAAGGCACACGTGTCCTTCTGAAAATTACTTCCATTTTATTTAGGTAAAAATAAATTCTGAGGGCGGGAGGTAGCCTTGGTAACAACAGCTCAAAGGCAGTACCATGCAGACAAATGTTTGTCTTCCGTGAATTAACACACTCGCAAAGCCAATTAGCACGTTTCCTCACTTCTTGCACTGGTGAAAATGAGTTTTAGCAGCGAGCCTGTTGGGGCATTAAATCTAAAACTAGATTTATTTTTACTTAAAATAATTTTAATCTCGTAATGCTCCATTCCGTGTAAACGTTTACTTGAAGCAAAATAAATTGGTTTCCCTTCCTTCTTTAGGACAGTTACCACTTACATTTTCAAGTTCAAGGAAAGCAGAGAATTAGGAACAACTAAAATATTCAAGCACAGGACTTATTACAGTAAAAGTTGCACTGAAGTTCTTCATTGGTCTATGAAAACATTGGCTTGAATTTTTTGTGTAAAAAAGGAGGAAATATTCATATACTGTACGCTACTATTAACATCTGCTCTTTGGGAGATAAACTGCTACACATCCACCTTTAATTTCATGTCATTGCTCACTGAGAATCTTTCCATCCTGCTCTTTGAAGCCTAAATTCAGAGTTCATAGACAGCAGACCATAAAGGGCTTAACAAATGCCATTTAAATGTAGTAAGTACTGTATGTGTTCCAACAGACAAAAATCTGAAAGAATCAATTCAGCTAGTGGCACATCATTGAAGTCAAAGATCAAACACATAGTGGCAGTTCTGGGCTGGCGATTTAACGGTGATCACTACCAGTCTAAATGAAATAAGGGCTTCAGTAAAGTTATGTCCAGTATTACGCAGGATGTGCCACGTAATTTTGTAATCCATTGACATTGTGTTCACAATTCACAAGTGGATGAAATTTACCTAAGCTGTTGTCCTCTGTCAAAGCACTTTACAAGTAGTTAAACCTACATTGTTTGTCCAGCACCATTGATATTAAAGACATATTTTAAAAAGAATAATTTAAAATCGATATAAATCCCTTGATATCACACAAATATAAATTAAAGTTTACTGTTCTGCTAAAGTAGGATTCAATATATGACTGTTCTGCTGGCTTTATTGTAAAGGTCCTTGGCTCTACATGTTGCTAACCAGTGGTGGGCAACCAAAGACTGTGTATGTGAAGGGCACAGCACACACTGCTGCAACAGAACTAATCAGACATTGCAAAAACACACACATCCTTAATCTAGCCTTTTAAAATACCAAGAATTACTTCTTGTGAGTGTACACCTCTGAAAACGTCTTTAGCGCTAATAAAATCACTTTAGCTCATTTAAAAAATTTAGAATTTCAAGAATTTTGAGAATTTCTGCGGGGGATACTGCTCTTGAGCAGTTGAGACTCAGGTCGTCCACCACTAGAGTATATAGGGACATACGAGCCCTCTGAAAGCCCAGGACCTTTCTTCTCCTGGGCTTCCAGTCACAAAGCATCAATACCTCTGGCTCATTTCTGCTGAACAAGGCAAGACGCAAGCAGAATGAGCAGAAGTTCTATGAATTGTGATGACTGTATATTTTAAGTAGAAAGCACTTACATTTCCCAAGTAAAATTAGACAATAAAAGATTTGCAATTTTTCTACTGCTGGAATTTGTAGACATTGGTCCCTGTGTTTAGTCCTCTGCTATTGTGGGAGTATTCCCGGGGCACCTGATATTCGCTTTTTTATGTTCTTTTGAGGATTACGGAATGAAAAAGTACATCATAAGGACACTCCGTGGAGTAATTATTTAACAAATGTGCACTTTTAAACCTTCAGCACTTGTTACCTTCTGCTAAACGCACTTGTGGAAAGACAAACTTCAGGCTACACTCTGAGGAGGAGCTGAAACTATACTAACAGCAGGTGGTCCAGAAGACCTTTTCAAAGAAAGGGTGCCAGAATTTCCTAGAATGCGATCATATGCAGTAATCGCGAGTTAGGAGAGGCAAGTTGGCAGCACGTTATTTTTAATCTATCAAAGGTCTTTTGTGATTTCCTGAACAACTGAATATTAATATCTGTGTTTACATCTATTGCCTCAAAAATGTACATCTTGTGATACGCAGAAAGTCGTGGGAAGGCAAAACTGGATAGATTTAATTTCAAGATCCACACCCTTTATCCAGAAACTCTTTGAAGAGGTCTATCAGATTCAAGATAATTTGAAAAGAATGAGTCCCATTCACATAGTTTAAGTCACATGCGCCCAAAAGTCCAACTTTAAGGATTGAGTTCACAGATGCCTATTAGCCTAGGGCTCACTTACCTACGTTAACTTTGGGTAATCTAAGTCTAGTGTAAGCCAGGGTCTGTGAAACTACTATTTAAAGTTTTATCGAATTTCCTAAGAGAATTTGAATGTTCATAGGACATTGTATTAAACCAACTGCCCAGGATAGCATGATGAATATTAAATTTAATTTGTATTCATAACATGCACTTAAAATGAAAATGGAAAGGGAAAGTGGCAAGTCTATTCAAATATTTGTGGATAGAAATCGAATGAATCGGATTCATCAATGACTGAGAACAGTTCACGTGCTCACTAGGGAACCACTGACTTTCATCTAATGCTGTTTTGCTTCTAATTGTATCAGATTTTGAGATGGCTAATGGCCAGACTTGGATTCACTGAATAACTCAATAATGCACAGTCCAAGATAGTGTGCACCTTTGACCCAGATTTTCAAACCTGAGGATCTTTACTGCAGTAACATGAGAATACAGCACGCAGAGTAATGGAAATCTTAGGAGATGTTCCCTGTGATGTTTTGTTTTTGCTGCTGGTTGATTGTTAGCCTAGTGGTTTGAGTCTGGATTTCTCTTCCCTGGCAGCAGGTCCTCGTTAGTACAATCTCCCCCCCCCCTGCACCCTCACTCCGGGGCGTCTCCTTTCTCCTCCGCGGCGCCGGCTTCCAGCGAGCGCATCTTGCACTGTGCCAGGGAGTGGCGGGCAGCCGACCGGGAGGGACGGGCAAAGCAGGAGGTGAGGGACTGAGAGGTGCAGTCGCAAGCCGCATCCTGCGGAAAGAGAACCAGAAGCACCCTGGATGGTTAATGCACAAAGAAGCATTTGCCTGAACACGTAAATGCATAAACCTAAACCGAGCCCCTTAACTGGTGCCCTTCACCCAGGGCAATCTACTGCAACAATCCCTGACTTTAAAATGGTTTGTTTCACTTTAAATTATTATGCTGGAACAAACAAGGCAATCGTGCTGTTGGATATTCCCTTCCTAGTTTTTTTCCAGACGTGCATCAGGGCTTGTTAATCGAAACTCACCTCTAGCGCACTGGAACTCATGTTGGTGTCTCTTGCAGCCGTGTCTTTGTTACCCTGGGCTTGTTCATCTCGGAGGCTTTGCTTAAGAAACCTTTTGTTGACGATCTTTGAAACGTTGTCCGGTGAGGCGCTTCCCACTGTGGCAGCAGGAGAGTCTGGCTTCTTTGCCCCATCTTCCAGGGTGCCGTCTTTCGGCTGCCTTTCTGCCACGGGCATTGGGGTTTGCACCCTTCCGCAGACGTTGCGGAAGAACTCGTGAACTATCCCATACTTGGGGACCTCTGCCTTGGGTTTGCTCTCCTGGGGTATTCCTTTCCACAGAGACTCTGTGCTGCCATTGTGCTCCACCACGCTGAACAAGCTGGAGAGACCGTCATTGAGGCCACTCAGCACTGGGCTGTCCCTCGTTGTGGTGGACCTGGCCCAGGCTGACCCATTTTGGCCCCGATGGTGTAGGTTCCACAGGCTCCTGTCCTTAGAGGTATCCAACTTGGAGGACGACGTTGACACCTTTCTCTGCAGCTTGGGAGAGCCGTACTTCGGTGAACAGCATGGGCGCTCAATCCTGCTGTGCACTTTTTCTAAAGATGTAGAGATCTGCCTGCTGCGAGCAGACATTAACGAGGAGCTCCTAGGTGACCAACTTTTGGCATGCAGGCCCGTTCTGGGGCCTTCAGTCTGCAGGCCGATGCTAACAAATTGCGCAGTCTGAGTTCCGGTGGAGGTGACCACCACCGTCTGGCTTGCAGTGTCCTTGCACTTTCGCTCCAGAGAGCTGGAACGGATAGCCTGCCTCACACAGTTGGTCATCTCCTTCATATCGTCGCTCAGGTTGCCAGATATCTCCAGGTTATGGAATGGTGACGGTAACCCTGCTGTAGTTGCAGCCTTGGAGTTGTTCTCCAGTAGATCTCTGTGCTGCTTGGAGAAATTGCAGAGCCATCTGTTAAAGGTGTTGTCTGATGGGTTCTCCGATTCCCCACGCTCCCTGGGCTTTGTTGTGGTAAACAGATAGCCTGGTTCAGCCATCGTCTTCTCTTCCTGCTTTTCCTTTGCTAAGCTGCCTTCCATCCTGCGCACCACTGGAGGGCTATAGTAGATCCTAATCCCGGTTTTATCCGGTGCGGTGTAACTTCTCTGTATGCATGACTGGGTCAAGTCGAGGCCAGCAAAGCTGTTGGTCATTGTTGGACAGTCCCAGGTCTTGAAGGGATCAGCTTTTTCATAGAGGGCCATCTCATTTGTCAGGTACTTCCAGTTCTTCTTGTTAAGCTCCCCTAGGTGGGACAGGTTGTTGGAGATAGGCTGTGCGCTGGGCTGTATCCCCCGCCCTTTGCTGGCATCACCGTTGTCCTGGCTAGGGACGAAGGGAGAGGAATCCAAAAGGCTCTCGAATTCCGATATGGAAGAAACTGATTTGGTCCTGGAAAAACACAGATTTACTTTAATGGACCTAATAAAAGCTGACATTGTGCACCTGAAAGGTGCTGGTATTTTGTTCACCTTGAGCTCACCCAAACTTAGTAATTCCTATAGTTTTATTAACACATTCTAACAGGTCAACGCTGGGCAGATTCTTTCGAGTTTTCAAATTTCTTCCCAGTTTTGAATATTTGAACACATAATAAAATAACGATCAATTGAAA